AAAAGAAGCACGATCTAGACGCACATGCAATGGCGCACCTGTTTGTTTGAGCAACATATTTTCACTGTTAGTACAGTCCTTTCAGCCAAACCGTTCGAAGACGGATGATAAGGGGCGGTAGTCACATGCCAAATTCCATTTGAGGTGAGAAAAGTGGAAAACTCGGTGCTGGTGAACACAGATCCGTTATCAGACACGACTGTTTCCGGAAAGTCCAAAAGTAGCGAACGTAGTGCATAGTTTGATTATTGTGCTAGCTGAAGCCGCTGTGGACAGAATGTGAGCATCAATCCATTTAGAATGCGCATCAACTAAAAGCAGAAAATCACGTCACTTTCGAATGGACCGAAAAAGTCCACACGCACACGTTTCCAGGGCATCTCTGGCCATGTCCAGGGCTGCATCGGTAGGTGGGGGACAACGTTTCAAGATTCTTGGCAAAGCATGCAACATCCAACTTTCGCCGCAATGTCGCCATCCAATCCGGGCCATCATACATAGGAACGGGCCAGTGCCTTCATCTTAGCAACTCCTGGGTGTGCATCGTGAAGCTCGTCCAGGATGGCTGATCACAATCTTTTAGGGATCACAGCTCGTGCACCCCACAGCAAACATCCATTCTGGATGATCAGTTCAGTCATTCTATGGCGAAAAGGCGTAAGTTCTGCAGGTGTGTTGTCGGGCCATCCAATCTGAATGTACCGCGTTACAAGCGCTAAGAACGGAGCTCTTTCTGACACGTGACGTATATTTGTGGATGTGATCGTAGCACCGTTGAAGAGCTAAAGTAGATACACAAGTTCTTGCGGAATAAACTCTTCTGAAGGAATCTCCGGTAAAGTGAGTCGATTGAGAACGTCAGCGGCGGTATTCTCTCTACCCGGAATATACTGTATCTGGAATGTGTAAGCAGATAGAATGAGGGACCAGCGGATCATTCTAGGGGAGACCATTGGTCGTATTCCTCTTGCATGCCCAAGGAGCGAGATAAGGGGTTTAAGATTTGTGTAAATCACGAAATGTTAGCTGAGGAAGTACTGATGAAATCAATTGATCCCGAAGATGACAGCGGCAGCCTCTCGATCGGGTTCCTTTCGATTACGGTTAAGGTTCGTGAAGCGTAGGCAACAGGTCGCTGTGAGTCATCAGGTAATTTATGTAGCAAAATGGCCCCAAGGTCGTAAGGAGAAGCACCACAAATGAGAACGATAGGTTTCCTTGGATCGTAATGTACAAGGACCTCAGCTGAGGCCAAAAGTTTCTTTACTGTGTTGAAAGCATTATCGTGGACAGCGTTCCATTTCCACGGCTGATTCTTGCACAAAAGTTGAGGAAGCGGATGTAAGTGAGTTGATGCTGCGGGTATGAAACTGGAGCACAGAGTGCAGTTCGTTCACATTTTTGGGCGCTAGGGCTTTAAGGAGTGCGCTGGTTTTCTCTTCTAGCGGATACAACCACTCGCGCGAGTTTGTACCCAAGGCATTGCACACGCGGTACAAAAAATGCACAATTTTCTTTCTTCAGTATCAGCCTTTTTAGAACTAAATCCAGGGTGTGCAGATGTTCAGCAGTTGTGCGCCCGGTAATTAGGATGTCATCCAGATAGGCACATGTATTTGGTATGTCTTTCACTAGCGAGTCGCTAATTCGTTGAAATATATCGGCGCAGAGTTTATTCCGAAAAGGCATGCGTATGTAGTGAGATAACCCAAGATGTGTGTTGATGGTGGTGAAAGCAGGTGAATCCTCGTCGAGTTTAATCTGCTGGTAGGCGTGGCTCAGATCCAGTGAGGAAAAAAGTCCGCCACGAGAGATAGAGGCGTAAATATCTACAACTTCAGGCAGTGGATATTGATCTGGCTGTAGTGTTTGGTTGATTGTAACCTTGTAGTCCCCACAGAGCCTTACAGTATCATCGCTTTTTAATATAGGCACTATAAGGGCAGTCCAATCGGAATACTGGACGGGTTCAGTTGTACCCTTTTCTAGCAGCCCGCGCAGCTCAGTCTCGACGTTGTCTCGAAGAGTATAAGGTGCGGTGCGTGCCTTCCGGAAATCTCGGTGTTGCTTGGGGTCTCAGTATCAATCCGGCCGTGTAATTCTTCAGCAGGCCTGGCTTAGTTTGGTCAAAAAGAGGTGCATATTTTCGCAATCCCGGATAATTATAGGCAACATTCAACCATGTTGACGAATGACATGATGCCCGGAAGTCATTTAATGCCATCGCGACCAAGTATATTTGGACCTGGTCCACCTGAAACATGCACACGGATTCGATCCGTCGAATGGCGGTAGGAGACAAAGGTACCTAACACATTCACCAGCTTTCCGGTGTATCATCGTAGTTGTATTGTAGGGGATTTAATTTTGGTAGTTGCAACAGGGCATAAGGTCGTATCAGCGTAACTCTTATAAATTTCGAAATCAACTGGTTGTTCATTAATCTGGACAGACACAACGAACGGTTTCTCCGCTGTTATGCTGTGAGTAAATACTGTTCTGGTGTTTATGCAGTTCTGGTTTAAATTCTCAGTAATGTGATTTGCAGTTTTTGGGATTCCCGCACAACGAAATTTCGTTTGGAAAGATAAACTTTCTGGATACGTCCATTTTTCTCACAAAACCTGCATATAGAGTAAATATGCTGGCAGTCAGCCGGAACAGAATGCTGCTCGCCACAGCGATAACAACGAAATTATCTACCCTGTACAGATTGAGACAATATATGATCACGCTTTGTTTGAGAGACTTTGTTTACCTCCTGTGGAATTATCTGATCGAAGAAGAGAATGGCATTAGTTCCTGAACGAGATTAGCACATTGTCGAACTAAATCACAAGCATTTTCCCAAGTAAGAGTCTTTCGTGTTCTGACAAAAGACACTCGCGTGCTTTGTCGTCAAGTACACCAACGATCAATGTTTGTAAAAGCATTGCTCCCTCGAAATGAGTTGGCCTGGTCTGGTCATAGGCGCAATCAGAAAGGACAGTAAGGAGTCGAGAAATAAATTCATTTACAATTTCACTCGGTTGTTGCTTCACAGTGTTAAATTTGTACCGGGTTGTGAACACGTGTGGTTTTTCTCCCTACAATCGGTCAAGAGATTAGAACACAGTTTGTAAATCATATTTCGTGTGCAGTTGTAAACTATGAAAATGTCGCTACCCTTCGTTACCGAAGTGGTGGCGCAGTAATTTAATTTTTAATATCTCGTCAATCGCATCGTTATTGCCAAAAAGCACAAGTAAATACACGTAATTAGTAAAAGTAGTCATCCACTGCGTCCATTGCAGCGTCGTAGGCCTTTTCGAGGAAGAATTCCAAAACGGCTGAGGTGAAGTAATTGAAATAGCTATAAGTGATGCAAATAACCTCCGTCGCCAATTTCATACACCCAGGTGAAGCAGAATAATAACGGCACAATGAAAGTATACCGGAAATAACGCTGCATACAGGAAAAGTATAGAAGCAAACAGCAAGCAAGCAAGTAACGTGCGTGCTGAATCCGGTGTTCGATCAGACAGGGATGGACTTAGGAAATGAGCGCAATGAGAGGAAGGACGAAACACACACACACGTATTGATGGACACACACACGCGTACATTCGCAGTCAGTAGAGGCGACACACACATACACCACACCACATACACCAAATCCGGTGGGGACCAGAAGGAATATATGGGGAAACACCGAGAAACCATGAAAGCAAAAGTTGATGCATAATCGGAAAATGGAAAGAGACAACCGAAGATCGCTCCGACATTTCAATCTATCGGATATGAAGAAGAGAGTTATAGAGAGAATGAATAGATTTGAACAAAACAATAGTTAGAACAGGGTAGAGGGGTAGGCGTGACACCCCTACGCTCAGGGCAGCCGTAGGCTTACGAACAGCTGTTTCTGCACACGGGGTGTGGGTTTGATACGGCTGATCGCGGCTGCCTCTGCAAAACGTAGGAAACGGGCGTTAGCATGTCTTAACACGATTGTAAACATTTTGGCCGGATCAAACTGGTGACAAGTGGCCAGTAAATGCCTACCTATGGATGAAGCAGGTGGTTTACATGAACAGATGGTATGAGCAACCGACGACTGGGTGATTTGACGCTGCAACCATTTAGGTACATGTTCCCTTATTCTGGAGTTCAACGATCCATTGGTACGGCCTGATTTTGCCAATGAGGACAATGAAGCGCATAACTTCCGCAGTCCAGAGGAATTATTATGCTGCTGAAACTGTCCTTATCAACCGGACGAATCGAATGCCTGTTACCCCAATGACGTAAAGACAACCTATTGGCGCCAACTCACATTGTATTTACCAATTTACTTGTAGTTGTGGTATACACTATTTAGACCGTACCAACAGATCGTTGAACTCCAGAATAAGGGAACATGTACCTAAATGGTTGCAGCGTCAAATCACCCAGTCGTCGGTTGCTCATACCGTCTGTTCACGTAAACCACCTGCTTCATCCATAGGTAGGCATTTACTAGCCACCTGTCACCAGTTTGATCCGGCCAAAATGTTTACAATCGTGTTAAGACATGCTAACGCCCGTTTCCTAAGTTTTGCAGAGGCAGTCGCGATCAGCCGTATCAAACCCGCACTCCGTGTGCGGAAAAAGCTGTTCGTAAGCCTACGGCTGCCCTGGGCGTAGGGGTGTCACGCCTGCCACTCTACCCTGTTCTAACTTGTTCCGGTCTCACCCTACCTGTCGTCATATATTTTCATGTTATTGTGTTGGTACTGAAGAGACAATACGAAATGTTGACATCTGCCAGTGTTCGTCTTCTTACGGCATTGTTCAAATTACTAAAGGGATCTAAGTGTATCAAAACAATAAAGTTCAACTCAACGGAATTAATTTGGGGCATCTCGAAATATCTGAGGATGCGCCGAGCAGCCACCATGAGGTCGAGGCTTGAGTGCGCCTGAGGGACATACTCAACACCAGACACAGAATGGATACGACAGGATCTCTCGACATAAACTTACCGGTTAGAATGGAAAGTGTGGTTGTTTTGCCCGCTCCGTTGTGGCCCAGCAATACGGTTATCTGACCTTGAAAGAGGTTCATGGTGAGACCCGCGACGGCCACATTTGTTGTCTGTTTCACCTTGTAAACCTGAGTGAATAAAATGGGAGTAAAATGGCATGAGTCGAATATGGCCGTGTAGAGAAGAAAGTCGTGCAGTTGAGAGTAACAGAGAGAAAAGGTGATGTGAGGTACACAACTGAGTACGATGACAAGAAATCGCCGGAAGAAACGCTGATGCTAGTAAAATAAGTTGTTGCTAGTTCTTCGCGGTAGCTCCAAGTCAGACACATTCCCCGCGGACGTTCCTTCTTACTGGGATTCGTCGGAAGTGTGCATTCAACGGCTTCACCAGGAACCTAAATCAAGACATCGCGACGCCAGCGATTATGACAATGGGCAACAGGGTGGGTTATCAAGCCATGAGTAAGTGCGGTGGACAGTCAAGGTTTACAAGCAAGTTGCAATATTATGGGGCAAAACCACAATTACCATGGCGGTCACAGACTTTACAGAGGACGGGGTAGGCCCCAAAGAGTTGGCTTCTCATATAATAGTCACATAGATAAGGAAAAAACAAACGAGCAACCCCGAAACGAACACGCGAGCATAAGTGGCTTGGCAACAGCAGACAATTACTATTGCGATTATTCATAGGAAGAGTAATAACATGCAAGAAAGTACCGCTATATAAGCATGGGGAGACGACCCTGATAAGAATTTGAGCCTGATACGATTGTCACTGACGCGGTTTGAGCACGCCAACGATAACCGCTTGGAACGCTGGCCAATCAAACGGATTTGTGCTGACGCGATGGAGTTAGCTTAGCCGAGCGTACGCGCTGGTGAGGCGGAAAAGCGCGCTAGTGTGAAAACGTTCCCAGCCACATGTATTCGGGTAGACGCTGATCCCTCGTAACGGACGACGCTACGCACAAGGGAGGAGGTGACGGTAGACGCACGCTAGTGGCTTAGACGCGAACGCTGCCCGGCTATCGACGCAGACAAAAATCACGTGACCGAACCGACTCCCAACTAACGGTGAAGTGAAAGCAAAAGAAGTGGTCCTCTGAAGGCTCTTTTACGAACAACAAAGGGCGAATCACAGCCAATCGGATGGATCATTAAGTTGGTGAAAATAGCTACCGCAACGGGGTAGTAGTTTGTAAAAGAACATTGTCAATATGTGCGCAGTTGTGTCGCGTGTCGGAGTGGCTGAAATCTGCTAGGTTGGGGGGAGGAATTGAACTCCACTTTCCACAGCCATTACGCCGGAGTTTATGGCGTGTTTTTGCGGGGATATTTGATGGGCCCGCAACACTCCTCCACCGTTCATCGGTAGTGAGGGAACAAGTTGAGTTCGTCTGTAAGAAGCCGGATGTCAAACCTTACATTATTCTCCATGTGATTCCGTTGAGCGACAAGTCTTGGAAGATACGGAAACATGTAGTTAGGTTTCAAACTGGGCAAAATGTGTGGACAACCAAATAGGAATGATAGGTTTTTCATTCTGGGGAAAGTACATCTGAATGACCAGCTATAACCATAAACAAATGGAAAGAGTTTAACAGCACCTAATGAATGATGCATGGTAGACTGTGCAGTTATTCGACGATTTGTGAGAGCACGTCCGAAAATATAGCGTGCATAACATGCTTACCTTCCGCAATTTCCTAAGTGATATCCCAACTGGTAGGTCAAGAGGCTCCGATGCAAAGTACCGCCGAACCTCAGATGGATCGTAGTCGACGTCCGAAAACAGTGGTGAAGATGAAGAAGGGAACGAAGAGAAACCCGAGCTCGGATTGTTGTTCACAGAGGTTGGAACGACGCCAGATTCAAAGAAAAGATTCTGTGCCCCCTGAGGGGAGCTCGAATGAGGAGCTGCAATATCGGGGTTTGTACCGGTGTCGGGATTAACTTCAAGTAGCAGTGAAACAGTCGGCCGTCGTCTACACAAACACTAAAACAAAAAGACATTCGCGGCTCAGAATTACCTAGTACAGTGGGGTCAAAGCCTAAGAGATACGGAACAATAATACGGGTTGAAATGTTCTTCAGTATGGGAGGATATACCGATTAAAACACTTGACTGACTGACTATATATATATATATATATAAGCCGGAGTATATTTCATTTTTGTTCTCTAGGTACTTTTGAGATTGACCAAGATAGATTGCACGAGCTGCAACAGCAAAGTGTGAAAGAAGATCTTGTCAACACTCCGAGGCTGCATGAAACGCAGGGTTAGTTGCTCACCCGCCGGTGCTGATGGTGCAACATCGGAAATACTGAAAAACAGTGGACTCGCAATACTGCATGCATTGCATCATTCTGTGCACCGCCTTCGAAACGAAGAGCAAGCCACTGCGCTTGTGCTACTGCTGTACAAGGGCAAAGGGAACAAGCACTGTCGCACGGATTATCGTGGCATCAACTTGCTGAGTTGTGTGGGCAAGATGATTGTCTGAATCCTACTCAACCGCCTCGTCACTCAGATCGCTGAACCGAACGTGGTGGAAGAGCAATACGAATTCTATTCGGGCCGCAGCACGATACCTACATTGTTCGCGACTCGTAAATTACAAGAGAAATGCTAAGAGCGAAAGAAGCGACTGTACTCAATGTCCGTCGACTTCATCAAGGCATTTAGACACAATGAACCGCGAGGCACTGCGCCTGGTGCTCGGAAATTTGGTAGATCTTGGCAAATATATTCGTCTAATTGAATCTCTGCACCGTAAAATTCGGGAGAGGATTCAGCTGTGTGGAGAAATTACGGGTGACTCTATGTTGTCTCCAGTGTAAAGCACGATTGTCTCAGCCCTACTGTTTCATATTTTCGAACTGTTATGACGTAAATTGCTTTAAATGCCTGTGATTATGGCGCACAGTAGTAAGTATGGTTTGCTGAACATACATCGCCTCGGGACGAGAATCCGAGTGCCTGAGAAAATCAGCCGGATGTTGTTGTTTGTCAACAACTATGTGCTGTTTGCAAACACCGAGAGTGCATTTGACGATGGTTCTCGCTTTGATGGCGACCAAGTTCAGACTCACCATCAACACAAGCAGGACTATTTGGTTTTTTTCAGCCGTCACCAAGAATAAAATTAAAATTTCTGACGAGGTACTGGAGAGTTGATTAAAATTTTCCTACATCGGGTGCACATTATCAAAAGACTTGTAGATGACCAGCGAGTTCAGTACTCGCATATCTAAGGCATGTGAAACTCTCGGGAGTCTGGAAAACCGTGCGTGGAAGAATAAGCAGATGGTTCTGGTAACCAAGCTGATGACAAACAAGTCAATTGGCTCGTTGGTATTTCACTAACGCACTGAAACGTCGATGCCATGAAGGAAAGAGATCCTCCATCTGGAGTGCTCATCAGAAATGTCTACCTCGGATACTACACATCGGTTAGTGTGACAGAATAACTGAAACGGAAGTGCACACTGCAGCGGCATGTACGAACTGGATTGCATACTGCTACTATGACACCAGATGTGGCCCGGACATGTCCATCGTATGGAAGTGACAAGGATACCGAAGCGTGCATAATATGTTCAACTTGGTACGGTGAAGCGGAATGGGAGCGAACCGAAGCTGCGCTACAGCAAGACATGAACTAATGTTGAGTTTAAGCGTTGGGAAGCAATGACAGGGGATCGGCGCTAATGGTGTCACTACATCAAGAATGCAGTCTCCCAGACGTTCCAGAAAAGACTTCTGCAGCAAGAAAAACGATGGATGAAAAAGCGTCAGATAATGACGGAGCTTGGTCTGTTGACGCCATGTATCTGATGCTGTGGAACATGCTTCATCCGATCCAGTTCAGTAAGATCTCAGCGTGGCCATGCGAGGATAATATCCAAGAGACAATGGGTAGATTAAATGGGTGAGCGTCAGCGCTCGGTGAGTACGCTGCTTCCGGTTATATGTACTAACCAAAGCCAACATTTCGACAGATGTAATGCGTGTGTACAATAAGGATGGTAGGCAGTAATGCAATTAAAATGTTGGTTAAAGTGCGGCATTCCTTCTGTAGTTGAGAGGCCATACAACAGGTTAGACCACATGCAGAGACAAAAAACGTGCTGCCTACAGATTCTAAGTGGTAAAAACAAGAACCCGGACACGTGTAGTAAAAATGATGTATGGTGCGGTTTGACCATTGCAACCGGTAAGCAACCATCGACTGTACAAGCACCACTCCAAACCAGCGTATAGCACTGTCCGGGAGAAGATAAGAATACCCCGGGAGAATTCACTATTTCAACGAGTAAACGATTGTTATCGATTATCGCATCGATTTCGAAAGTTCTGGAATATTCCGGTGATTGCAAGCGATTAGTAATGTGAAAATCGGCCAAATCTATGTGGAACAACTAACCTTGACGGTTGACCTTCCTATTCGAGAAGTCGAAGGTCAGTGAGAGACCTAAAATACAGCCAAGATCCACTGCAGTAATACAGTGTTTAGTTGACGGCGGCTAACACGTCATGTCGTCAAGGTCGCTGGCCTTCTGCTTTTTCCTTCGGTTGAGCTAGAAGTTTTCTGGAGCAGTAAAGTGCCTATATTTCGGAAGCGCGTCTAGTGAGATTATAACACATATTATATAGACTGGTGAAGGGAGATGCGACGGAAATTGACCTCGTTTGTCGCGCGTAAGTCACGAGTCAATTCGTCAGCACATTGGCAGCAGCTGCCGGCCCAGAAGAAGTTACTGCGTTTGTTCGATCAGCATGCGGAGCTGCGTGATTATTGCGCAGACATTTCGTTGCCAGACAAACCAACATTATCAGTGCGGCTTCAGAGGCCTGGTTCGCAGTTCTTCGTAAGCAAGTTTATTGTCCAAGTGCTTATTGATCGAGTTCTAGTTTGAATGCAAGGCCTCAATAAACTCACGTACTTGCCGGCCCTTTCGCAGTAAATTCTACAAAATGAAAGATAAACTTAGCAAATAGGAAGAAACCGGTGTGAATTATAAGATCTGCTGCCGAAACTGCGAAAAATACTACGTTGGACAGACTGGAAGAAAGCTTGGCACAAGGCTACACGAACACAGCCTGGTCATTCGTTTCCACGATCAGAACTCCCTGATGTTAGTGCATATGGATGCCGAGAAGCATCAATTCAAGCGGGAGCACGCCAGCATCTTCGGAAGAGCTAAAAGCTGGCAAGCACGTGAGTTCATTGAGGCCTTGCATTCAAACCAGAACTCGGTCAATAAGCACTTGGACATTGAAGTCGCTTACGAGGCATGCGAACCAGGCCCCTGAAGCCGAACTGATGATGTTTCCTTGTCTGGAAATGAAACGTCTGCACAACAATCACGCAGGTCGGAGAACAGCTCAAAATCTGCATCCATACCCCGAACCATGAATATTCTCATTTATTTGAAGTCGTGTTTAGGTTATGGCGCGCTGGCAATATTCCATTACATGTGCAACACCTTGAAATTGTATGGCATCGAGGGATCCGAAAGAAGTGTGAGCACGCTGCTGATAACCTACATCATCTTTGAAGGTGCGACAAACAAGCAGCAACAGGCATTTGCATAGGGTGAAAAAGATGTCTCGAAAGAAGAGGCTAAAGCAAAGTGGTCAACTATCGGCAACAATACAAAAGCGCGCTGAATGGTCAGATAGGGTGATGGAAAGGAACTAATAGACGTCGAGACTCTTCCGTGATGATTAAGTGTAACGGCTTGTTATAATCTGCTCACCAGACGCAATTCCAAAAATAACCATTTACTGCTCCACAAAACTACTAGACCAACCGAAGGAAAAAGCAAAACGCCAATGACCTTGGTAAAATAACATATTAATCGCCGCCAACGAACACTGTACAACTACTGCGGACCTCGGCTGTATTTATAGTTCTCTACTGACCTTCGACTTCTAGAATTGGAAGGTCAGCTACCAAGGTTAGTGGTTCACCACATCTTTTGCCGAGGTGTCAGGTGGTTGGTAGTCACGTGCAGAAGGTAGAACTTTCCGGAACGTAGGAAGTCGATGCGATTATCGTTAATAATCGATTAATCGCTAAAATAGTGGATTGCCAAGGCAATTCTTACTTTCTCCCGGACACAGCTCTGGCAAATTCGCTAGGTTCTTCGAGCGCCAGCTATGCATGTGCTAAGCGAAAAGTGTATGACAAGCAGGTGGATCTGCCGTTTGGGGTGAAAATGATCAAAAAGGGACACTTACCGTGAATGGGAAATACCACGGTTTCGGTACGCCGTAAGTTCCTGGGTAAACAGCATCGAGGTAAAAGGTGAACGCAACACATACGGCGGCCTGTGCCAAAAGGACGATACAAAGCACATGCACTGACAAATTGTCTCCGGGGTTGGCAGGTATGAAAAGATTGAAGAACTGCACTCCCAAGCCTGAGTATGTGGGGCGAGGGAAGATTAAAACAGCTACAATGGCGACAGGTCTGTTACCAAGCATAAAGAAGTGGGAAGAGTCGGATGGACTTTAACCCACAAGTGAGCAAAGTTTGAAAAGTGACAGCAGTAGTAGACGCAAGTATAAAAGGGGCCGTTAATGAGGAAATCCTTTCAGTAGAAGTGGTATTATGCACAGTAGGATGAATAGACAGGGTAAGCAAAACAGAACTAAGCAAGCAACACTGGTTTCTTATGAGTAAAGAGTGAACTGGAGATTAGTTCGAAGTACACTGCATGAAAGCGAAGTGGATTGCAGAATACGGATCAAAAGAGTAACAATCCAGAAAATACATAAAATGTGGTGTGCTATCCACCCAGGGAGAAAACGCGAACATTCAGATATCAGGTAAGAGTCACGATCATGCATAGGAGGATGAACTAGCAGAGGGCTTGGTTTGACGTTACTGGGCAGGATGATCCTACACAAACGAGAGTGGCTCCGAGTCATAATTATCCAGGAAGCTAAAGTAGTTCCGATGACGCAGGCATTCAGCGTGATGGACCAAGACGGGGATGCGGAGAACAGAACGAAAACAAACAGGAATCGTTCAGTGTAGACTGCTTCCAACACAGATTTCTGAAGGATGGCAAGGATGCAATTTGGAGCGAACGTTCATTGATAACTGGCACCATATCTTTAAAATGGTCTCGTCTCTGACACCGAACTCCAAAACAATTTCACCCATGTGTGTGAAAGTTTTGGACACAGACAGAGAGAGCGAATGGTTAAAGCCGGGACTAAAGGGTCGTTGGAATGGGACTAAACAAATGAAGTGCCAAGATTACGTGTCGCAAATCGGGCACACGGTGGAAAGTTCAAGTTACCTCTACCACAGGGACCAAAGCGTGGACGGACTGGTTGTAAGGTGCGTCTCGTAACCCAAAGGTCACCAGTAGGAAGTTGCGCATGTGCGGGTGGCCCCGCTGTGCCGCTAAGACACATGCAACTGGTGATAGTCACGTGACATCGAAGTCTCGGCATGATGTGCCTGCGTACAGTGCTGCTGGCATTCTGACATGCAGTCAAACATTCGAACCGAGCAGCATGCAGGTTTGGAATCAAAACGGTTGGTATAAATTTATTACCCCTATGCAATCAGCTCTGTTTGACTGGATGACAGTCAACAGTCGGCTATGTGCAGTCAGACTACGAGGTTCATGTAACGTAAGCAGGCGTCGAGACGTTAAACGTGCCTTGTTTGTTGTCTCCGCCTACGCCCCTACAGACTGCAGCCCGGATGCAGTCAAGGATAGCTTTTACCAGCAGCTACATGAACTTCTGCGTTCCTCCAAAAGGACTGATATAGTCATCGTTGCCGGTGACTTTAATGCACCGGTTGGCCGCCTTCCACAAAGCCAACACCACCTTGGGGGTAGTTTTGGTCTCGGTGGCAGTCGATCAGACAATGGAGACAGATTGCTTGCTCTTTGCTCTGATCATCGCTTGTATCGTTCGAGCATTAGTTTTCGGCACTCGAGGAGACACACTGCTACCTGGCGCCCACCCTCACAAACGTAAGAGTGCTCCCAGCTTGACCACATAGCAATCAGCTACAGATGGCGCGGAAGCGTAACGGACTGCCGATCGTACTGGTCAACTTATCTAGACTCTGATCACGCATTGGTTCGTGCTAAGATGTGCATACGTTTCGGAGGATCACCTAAGCACACTCACTACCGACCAGACGTCGCAAATCTACAAGACCTTGCGATATTAACCAGGTACCAAGCCTCACTGTCAACCTTGCTTGGCTCAACTATTGACGGTGATCTCGATTCGCAGTGGGCGCATATCAAAGATGCCTTAATTTCCGCCAGTATCGACACTTGTGGAATTGCCCGCCACCCACCGAAGCATTGAATTTCCACCGACTCCTTGTCGCCGAGGGACAAACGCCGCTTGATCCCATCGGATTCCAGACACAGTGAAGAACGCCAATACATTGGTCGAGAGTTGCGCAGGAGTCTGCAAATGAATCGCGAAGCTTGGTGGTGTGAAAGTGCTAAGGAGATGGAGCTTGCTAATCTCTCTGGTAAGACCGGAAAACTTTTCCATCTCATTCGAGTCACCGAAGGCGTTCGATCTGGTATAAGTGAAACAATATGCAAAGAGGATGGCATCTTAATCACCAATCTTCAACGATGGTTGGAGCGATGGGCCGAACATTTTGGCTCGCAGTTTTGTTGACCCCCAGCTCCATCTGCTACCTTTGGCGCTCGCGCTGGGGTCGAGTGGTCTACCCCAACAGATCTCCCTCTTACCAAGAACTCGAGCAGGAGCTCCGGCACATGAAGCGTTATAAATCCCCCGGCCCTGATGGTCTTCCTCCAGCTCTATTTAAAGATGGTGGCGCTTCGCAGGTTCGAGGACTCACCGCTTTGTTACCGAAAGTTTGGTCGCAAGAGAAAGTTCCATCATCTTGGGGTGAATCGATAGTCGTCCCCATCTTCAAGAAGGGCCTATGTACCATCTGCTCCAACTAAAGAGGCATAAGCTTAGTCCCCGTCGTTTGCAAGCTGCCCGTGTCCATCATAATTCGCAGGTTATCCCCAATACGCGAATCGTTGCAACGAGAAGAACAAGCTGGGTTTCGCCCTGGTCGCGGCTGCATCGATCAAATCTTCACACTTCGCCAGATCCTCGAGCTCCGCCATGTGTATCACAGGCCAACGAGTGCTGTGTTCCTGGATATCCGTGCAGCCTTCGATGCTGTTGATCGTACGGTACTGTGGCACTGACTACTGAGGAATGGTGTCCCCGAGAAGTTCGTCTCTATAGTGCGCGCTCTCTATAGTCTGACCTCGGGCAGGGTTAGGGCTTATGGCAAGCTTTCGCCTACCTTTGTGGTCTCCAGTGGAATTCGACAAGGATGCCCAATCTCTCCGTTCCTATTCAACTGAAGATGTCCTGAAGAACGCTCTGGGCGATTCGTTGAATACTGGCGTTGAGCTCCTCCCAGGTAGTCGAGTTGTTGAGTTGGATTATGCTGATGATATCGTCTTGCTGGGTGACGATCCATACGTTGTCCAACTTGCACTAAACCGCTTGGCGATTGAAGCATCAAAGTATGGAATGTACTTTCGCCATCAAAATGCAAGGCTCTCTTCAAAGACTGGCAGGTGACTCTGCCTGCACTCACGCTTGCTGGTGAGACACTAGAGGTTGTGGAGAGCTTTGTCTACTTGGGAAGTTGCATCACTGCTGGCGGGGCTGTTGGAGACGAGATTTCGATGTGCATTTCGAGAGCACGCCTCACTTTTTCTAGGCTGAGGCACTTATGGCGTCGCCACGACATTCGTGTCCCCATCATAGGGAGGGTCTATTGTGCTACCGTTTTTGCTGTACTGTTGTACGGATGCGAGACCTGGCCCATTCGTAAAGCTGACTTGCGCAGGCTATCCGTCTTCGAGTACCGCTGTCTGCGGTCCATTGCCCGTGTGTGGTGGCAGCACGACGCAAGCAATGTGGTAGTTAGACAGCGTGTCTTGGGACGTGGAAGCCACTCGCTCGAGGAGCTCGTCTCACTGCATCAACTGCGTTGGTTGGGACACGTATTGTGTGTGCCTGTCCAGCGTTACCCGCGTCGTGCGTTGTTTGCGGTTGCTGAACAGGGCTGGAAGAGACGGTGTGGTGGACAGCCTACAACATGAAGCCGCATGAAAAAGCTGACGAAACAGTTCATCATCATCATCATCAACAGCAGTACATCAGCCATTTGAACTGATGCTTCGCTGCCATACAACCATGCTGACCTATGCAATAAAGAATAAGAGGGAGAGAAGGGGGACTTACCTGAAAACCTTAATGCCCTAAGCAAACATTCAGGGTCAAGGCGCCTACACCCTGTGTTAACAACATACCGTCACAAACAGCTGGCTATCGTGCAAAGATAAGGCGGCATCGGCGAGACAGCTTCCTTGCGGCTTTCACTGCCACGCGTCATAATCAGCCATTACCCCGCAGATAACTCAGCACCAAACACACTTTAAACAGACAATCCAATTAGGAGACGGCAGCAGACGCGCCACTGGTGTCGGTTGCGAGCCATGTCCTGTAAAGTCTCGAGCCAAGCACAAGGTGAGTCACGTGGACTCCAACCCGGAAGGCGAGACGGACCAACGGCACCCAGTTTGGTCGTCAGTGACTTCATTTCACGCTGCCAAGTCAACTTCTGTCCACCTCGAGCCTTGCGCCATCCGACACCTGGTAGAGTGAACAAGGCCCTCCTAGGTAAGCGGTGACCAGGCATGCGTAGCACGTGCCCGAGCCAACGTAACTTATTCAGTGCTATCTGTTGTTCTAGCGAGCTAGCATGATCATCACCCCCTAGTACTCGCCTACGCACATCATCGTTGCGGACACGCTGGTGCCATCCGACACCAGCAATGCTTCGCAAACAACGATGATCAAAGACTTGAAGGCGCCTCAGATCTTCAGACCGAAGGGGCCAAGTTTCACTACCATAGAGCAGAACGGCCCTCACTGTGGCCTTGTATACACGGCCTTTCAGACGGAGGGAAACTCCCTTCTGTCGCCAAAGATGACGCAGGTTCAAGAAGGCAGCTCTGGCCTTTGCAATGCGTGAGCTCACGTCAGTTTCTATGCGCCCATCATTGCTGATGCAGCTGCCAAGATAAGTGAATTGATTAACCACCTCGAGTTCCTCGTTAGCAAGCGTCAAGGGGTCATCGAGTGGCTGGTGGTCCTGCAGCAACACTTTGCACTTTGAAGGTGCGAAGTGCATACCAAATAATGGGACCACTCTGGATACGCTATTCAGGGTTGATTGTGCCGCCTCAACATTGTCGAAAAGCAAGACGATATCGTCCGCATAATCTAGATCAACTAACCGTTCACCAGGCAGCACTTCAACACCTACATCGTGAGATTCCGCAAGGGAACACTCCATGATAGAATCCACGACGAAATTGAACAA